GGCACACCGTGACCCACACTGGAAGCCCCAGACAGATCCTGATCAACTCTGCACAGAGCTGTGCATGGTAGTATAACATTTAATGCATTTAAATTGGGATAGACTGAAAGTTCTGTGTTCCGTGCCCCAACTTACTGCCTAATGACTGCCGTAGAAAGTAAGCCCTGTGGGGAGGTTCCTGCTTCTGTAAAGGCGGGGTTGGGGGAAGAAGCTTGCTGAAACTACCTGCAAAACGTTTCCATTCCAGTGTGGGAAGGGCAGGGATTTGCCGTAATCTGAAGATGCTAACGTTGCGTGTTTTCTGCCATGAAGCAAATTGTAAGGGGCTTGTTCAAGGTAGCTTTTACATCTTGGGTGGAATACACATCTAGAGTGATCTTTCTTAGGGCTCAAAAGAGCTCTTTTTTAGGTTCAGATCAAGAGAAATGGGAAGTCTGCAATTAATATCGAACACGCTTTCTATAAAAACAATTTACAATTAAAAATGTGTGGTTATTTTTAAACACCTTGTGTATCATCATCAAATTAATAGGTGGAAAGTTTCATTTCCATTTTGCTCACAGACCTTGCAATTTTGGAAAGGTAGACTGTTTTTCTTTTTTTAAAAAAACTTTTAGAATTTAATCTCAACAATGTTGCATTAGTTTGTATAACGGGGGGAGCGTGGCAAGACAGCACAAATCCAATGCATTTTTTTTTTAAAAAAACTTGTAATTATTTGATTTTTTTTTAAATTTCAACATTAAGAACACATGCTTGCTAAAAAAAAGAAGAGAACATATGCTTGCTGATCTCTATAGTGCTTTGTTCTCAGATGTCTGAACCATAGAAACAGTTTAGTTCTTACAGTGTACAAGCTAAAATGTTGATCGAGGACTGGGGAGACCCAAGTGCAAATCCCTACTCTGCCACGAAGCAACCCCCCCCCCCGAGCCACTGCAGCCTTCAACAACTTCCAAAAATACTAAATAAGCTCCAGGGAGAAATCTATAAGCCCCATTTTTTGCTGCACTATGCAAAATGTAAACCCCCAATCTCAGTTTTACTAGGTATTGTATACATTCACTGACATTCTGACCCATTTCCCACAAGCAGCTGTGCCGCCCTGGCTCTTCTCTTCCCCCCTCGATTGTATTTGACCCGCAGCATCCCCCGATTCCCCCTGCGTCTTCTTGATCCTTGTTTTTTGAGATCGAGAAGACGCGGGGAAAATCGGGGGATGCTGCGGGTCAAAATGCGGCCGCACAGCAAGTACTGGGAAATTGACGAATACAATTGGGGGAAAGGGAAGAGTGAGGGTGGTGCAGCTGCTTGTGGGAAACTGGTCTCAGAGTCTTCCAGGAAGGTAAGTCTCAGAGGGCAGCCCTGTCGGTCTGCAGTACAACAGCTAGATTCAAGTTCAGTATTAGAGACCAACAAGACTGTTTTTTGGATACAAGCTTTTGAGAGTCGAAGCTCGCTTCCTCAGATCTGACAAAGGGAGCTTTGACTCTCAAAAGCTTATTTTGTAGGTCTTTAAGGTGTTGGTGGACTTGAGTCTAGCTATTCAAAGACTTGTCGTCCAAGGGCATATACACTTCAGGTATTCACGTATAGTATCTCTTTGTTCCCCTGCCGCCACCCACTCCTTGTTTCTTTCCAAATAGTTTCCAGCTGGGAACGTGCTGCAAGGTACCTAGTTGCATACTGCATGGTCTTATATTATCTTCTCCCTCTCCTGCCTACATCCAATTTATATTTTATTTTACCCTTTTCTCTGCAAACGTGTTATTCTGGGATGATTAGGTCGTCCCACGCAATGGGAAATATGTAACATCATCCCGATGGATAGCTTTATTGTTGTTGTGAAGATAACATTCTTGTGCCGTTATACAACACTGAAACACCACAACTGTGCAATGAACAGAAGACTTTCACAAGCACAAAGGAGGGCACGGAGACAGCCAATTCCATCTGCTCACAGACAACACAATGGCAGTCACGGAATTAACGCAAGATTTTTTTTTTGTTTTGGTCCTGCTGCTAAACGAAGTGGCATAATTTGAATGGCCTTCAGTCCCAGGCAGTTTTAAGCACAACTATGAAGAGGCTGCAAAGAATCCCAGATATTTATTGCACAGGTGTCATAGCTCAAACATCCATCCATTCCTTAAATCTAAGATAAGGAGGAGGGACTGAGAGATTAGCCCATCCTTTTTTTGTCCAAACTGTTTTCTCCAATTTAAAACCCATCTTAATGCAAGTACCGGATTAAATAAACTCAAACTCTAAGGGAAGTTAACACCTTGGCAATGCACCTGGCAGTCTGCAGGGGGAGGGGGGAACCTCTGAAATGCTTCCAAGGACAACAGCTTGTAGGCTGAAGTGTTACGCTGAATAACCATGTTGTAACAGAAGACAAGTATATAGTAACAGCTTGGGGTGGTGGTGGGGAGATGCTACTGGAAGTATGTAAGGAGATTCTCTTTGTGCAGAAGGTGAAACAGAACACACACACACAAACCCAGTTATGCATAATTGAAAGAAGGGAGCTAACTGGCTTGAAAACAACAACAGTGGACTCTGAAAGCCACATTGCAGGGTTAGTGGTATGACAGTGGAGAGACAGGGAAGATAAAGCACAGCGCTATACATGTGTGTAATGCATTGACAAGAAGTTAACTGAGGAATAAGAACTACTTTTTATTTTAACGTTGACTCAACTGGTAAGAACTGACAAGTGGAATTTAAAACACTGCCCAACAATCCACACAATCTGGGTTGTGGGGAAGAGGCCGGCTGAATCAGATGACGCTTCAGTTACTACCAGTCTGGATAAATACCACCACCCCATTCCTACAGCCACAGCTATGGTTTACCCTAAAGTAGGTACAGAACCACACTGACAGTGAAGCGCAGTTCCATTAATGAGGACTGTTACCAATGATCGGGCATGCTAGAGAGGATCAAAACCAGTTCCTGCGGACACACTAGGGCCAGCACATGCATACCAGGCTCTCTCGTTTTCCTCTCCCCAACAGTAGTCCTTTGTGTGGCAGTGAAGCATCCCAGGAGTTCGAATAGCTGCTTGTTGTGCAGTACTGGGGAGGGTGTGTGTGTGTGTGTTTAAGCCCCTGCTGGAACCCAAAATGAGTGTTTGAAATGCGTTGTGTGTTGCACTGCAGCACTGTTCTAACTCAGCTAGCTTTGTGGGGACTAATGTGCCTTCAAATATGCCACGCGGAGCACTGCATCCTTTCCACGCCACCTCTCAGATCCAGTTCTGCACTACACAAACAGATCTGCACGCACGTGGTGCCTTAATAGTGACTCGGCTTTGCCACAGCGCTGAATAATCCAGACTGCTGAGCAGGACAGACTCCCTGGGTCATCCTGCGACGGCAGTGTACCACCCTAGGCCGCAAACGTTGCGTGGCATCCAATGCTAAATGCTCGTTTGCCACCGCGAGTGGCTTTTCGGACTGAGCTCAACTGATTCTTGAAATCAAAGCTCGGAGCAGATCTGCGCTACTAGCTAAGCTGAGGTATGCCATGCTCTGTAAGTGTTCGAAGGTCAACCCCCTTACACTCATAGACCGGTCACATTAAATGCCAAGCTAAAAGATTTGCTGCAAAACGCAAGTCGATACAGAAAGCTTGTTAGTGACATTGCAGGCACAAACTAATACCTGCTAACGCCGTGTACAAAGCTATTTACCCAGCCCGAGATGATCTTAGAACTTTGGACTCTTTAGGGAAGTTTGAACCCACTTTTTTTTAAAACTGGAAAACTATTTATTCCGATCAGAGTAATTTCAAATCACACCAGTTACACAACAGCAGATCAGCTGTGCTAAGGACTGCTCCGAATGCTGCAGCCCGGTATTTCGAAGCACAAGCTGTTTCATTTCCTATGCATCTTTTGAAATTTCCTCCTCAGCTGAAAACACTTACTTAAGAGGGTAAAATGCCAGGCGATGGCTTGGGAGCGAGCCACCACAGACGTCTCTCGGCTAACATAAAATATCTACGCCTTGAGGCTCATTTTACACGCCGTGAGTTTAGTGAGCGCTTATATCCTAACTAGGAGGGAGGAGGCACACACGTTCTTTTGCACTGGAGGGTTGCAACAACAATAAATAATGAGAAATACTATGACAGTGGCAGGCTTAATTCATAGTTTAATATAAAATGGGCAAAAAACCCCAACCCAATACAAAGCTAAAAGCTGATATGCTTTAAAAAACAGCTAGGAGGGGGGGGAGAATAAAATAAAAGGTAAAGTTCAAGACAGGCCCAAGAGCAAAGGGGCGATGATCCACACCGCCCCGCACAACTTGGCTTTGGTTCCCTGTTTTTTTGTTTTATCATGCAGAGGTGATTCATTCTATAAGGAAGCCTCAAAATACACTAGCAGCAACCTCTACCGGACAGCGAGGGGACACAAGGCTAGAAGTTCCCAGGCCGGAGCCGACAGCATCTGACCTTAGGACTCTTTCTCAACATGTGAGGGATAGCGACATGACAGATTTTTTTTTTAACCTATGGCACTTGCATAATTTATAATACTTTAGGCATTGGTCTCATAAATAAAGAGTATAAAAACGCATATGCTTAAGCATTCAGAGATGCCCTTCCCGCGCATTCAGCCCTCTCATTCCGACAGCCACTGATGCCTGTCAGTTTGTGATCAAGTTCAGTTTGGTCAATTTCATCTAGGATTTTACTTGCCACCTTAAAGAAGAAAAGTCAATTAAAAAAAAAAGGTCTGAGGAGGATACTAATTCATTCCTAAAACAATTGAGCCTACAGATAAGATTGTCTACAATTCCCCCCACCATTTTTTTTAAAGAAAAAGATCTTGTTTGTATTTCTACAATATCATCGGTAAATAATAAAAGTGCAATTAAGAGTGAGGATCGGATGGGCTGATTTGGTCACTTACCGGTTTCATTCATTCCCCCCCGCCCCCCACATCTGCTTGTCATCTGGTTCACCCCCCCCCTTTCTTTGGAGAAGCAACAATGAAAACAGTAAGGCTCAGAGCAATGAAGATGAAGTGAGCAGAACCCCGTTCAGAATCATAGCTAGAATGTCAATCCACGGGTCTCGCATACTCCCTTCTAAATCCACAAAAGTGCTAGTTACCCTCCCACCCCTTTACAAAAAAAAAAATGGCAAACTGTTGTTTACAAAAACCCTTATGAAATATCAATTCTACAATCTGTAAGGTTGAGTTTCCTTTTTTTCCACAAGGCCAAAGCAGAAACGGAAGATGGAATTCCCTTTGCGTACAAGAGAAAGTCTGTATGCAAGGAAACGGTAGGACAGCTGCAGTCTCCTCAGCGTGCGTATTTAACGTTAGAGTTGGCTCATTTTAGGGTGTACAAACACCAGGCAGACAGCGATCTACTGATACAATATACCCCAAATAAACCTTTAGATTCCAAGGCCAAAGTATGTTATAAAAGCTAGTCTGATGTACTGCGTTATCAGTCAACAGCAGCTTCGTTTTGTCGCTGACGGCTGTCTTCTAAGTTTGAAGCCCTTACCGCTAGTTGAGGGGTTGGTATCTGTAGATGGAATTCTACGACCTGCAAGGAGTCAAAGCAACAAACGTCATTAAAAACAACTATTCCGTATGTCTCACAGTTTAGCTTAACAAGTGTGGCTCATCACCATTTGGAAGGTCATTGTGCTTAAGAGGTCCAGATCTCAGAAGCGAAGCAGAGTCGGCCCTGGTTAGTACTTGAATGGGAGACGACCCAAGGAAGTCCAGGGTTGCTATGCAGATGCAGGTAGGGATGGGCATGAACCTAAAAAACACGGTTCGGGGTCCAGGGCAGCCCACAGACTGAATCCCGAACCGAACTGGCCCCACATGAACTGAACCAGTCTGGCAAGTTCAGCTGCCCCTTTCTCCTGGCCGCAGCTTGCCATGGCCAGGAGAAAGTGGGTGGTGATGGCCCTGGAAAGGAGGATCACCCGGAAAGGGACTTCCTTTCCCTCTTTCTCCTGGCTATGGCTCATCATGGCCAGGAGAAAGGGGGCAGGGATCATGCGGGAAGGGGCTTCAAAGTGGCGGGGAGCCAAAACCGAAGGGTTAAATAGCTAGCAGCCATTGGTTTTGGCTCCCCACTACTTCGAAGGGGAGGAGAGCAAAACCAGAGGGTTAAATATGGGGGTGAAGTGCCTCCCAGGGGCAATGTTCCCTCTAAGCTGTGGAGTCTTGTGAGCAAAAATTCTACTTTGTGAGCGGCTGGCATTAAAGCTGTGAGCGAGCGAGTTGGCTTCTGCATAAATTAGTTTGGTCTGGAGCCGTCTTTCCTGAGATGAGATAAAAATGTGTGAGCCGGCGGCTAAAAAAATGTGAGCTAGCTCACACTAACTCAGCTTAGAGGGAACACTGCCCAGGGGGCATTTCACCCCCTCCTTTCTGCTGGCTCAGCTGTCTTGGACTCCCTCATGCAGCCCATTTAAAGGGGCTGCGCGAGGGAACCTGAGACAGCTGAGTCGGCAGAGAGAGATCAAAGCCCCGAACAGCTGAACCGAACCGGCCAAAAGTCTGGTAAATGTTTGGGGAACACATCTTTCCCGAACATTGGTTGCTGAGCTCCAAACCAGCCCAAGTTCAGCCCAAAGTTTGGCTCATGAGCTGGTTCGTGCCCATCCCTAGATGCAGGCAATGGCAAACCACCTCCACTTGTCTCTTTTACTGGCAGAGCTGTTAAGTTCTCTTAAGTATTCAGGGAATTCCTCCTGGTACAGCTGCTTGCATAACAATGTGCTTTTCAGAGACTCACCACTGGGTTAGACTACAGCTGGGGAGACCCAGAATTGACTCTCAAATCAGCCACAAATTTCACTGAGTCTTGCTGAGCCTAACTGTATCTTACAGGGCATGAATCCATGTGCCAATTACACTTCCCAACAGGCTTACTCTTGGTACCATCTTGAGCCTCCTAGTCACTGGCCTTTTTCATCACTCTGGAATGGTCAGCCGGGGAGGTCAGCGCAGCATCTTTTCAAGCAGCATTCAGGAAAGCCTGCAATGCAGTCTGGTTTAGGATGGCTTTCTGGTACCCTTCCCCAGCTTCCTTTGGGCTGTTCCCATCCCATTTCGTGGGAACAGAGGGGCAACACGCAGCCTTGCAACTAATCAGTATGAGGCGCTCCCCCTCCCCCAGCTCAGCCTTTTGAACAGTGTGCAAGCCACTATACTATGCTCAGGCAAAGCACACAGGCATGTAGGAAAAAGAGCCTGATTTTTATATGTTTTGTTTTAAATTACTTTCCATGGAGTTTGCAGAGAAGCCCTGGGCAGGTGCTGCATTTTGAAAGCCATTTCCATATGCTCAGAATTTCTCCACTCTTCTCCCTTTAATGATTTTTAACCATTTTTTATTACAGTGACTTGTTGCTTATTTTTTTAACAAAGAGAGAGAGGTCTGGGGGCTAAACACAAGCATACAGATCTTGTACAAATGACCCGAGAGAGATTATATTACAATCTCACGTCTATCAAAATAATGACAAAAACGAAGCCAGTGCATAAGGATAGACACAAATGAGATTTAAGCTAAGACCAGCAACCAAGTTCCTTTTGGGCGTCCTTAAACTTGGAGGAAAGGGAATGAAAAGGAGGGGGCAGACAGACACCACATGGGTGTGCTAATACACAATACTTACTAATTTCTATAAAGAGCTCATTTATGTTTATTGCATTTTTCGCACTGGTCTCTACAAATACTGCATGGATGGAATCTGCATAGTCTTTAGCATCTTTTTCCATGACTTCTCTAGGAAGGAGAGAGAAAGAGAATAAATCACGAACAAAGCCCGAGGGTTTATTTCAATTTTAGAAGAGAAGTAGTAGGCAGAATTAAATGCAGTAGTGAAAGCTATTTTAGCAAGTAATCTGAGCCCTGCTGATGTTACCCACGGCATCTGGAAGGTATGCAAAATGGAGAAAGGGAGAATGCTGTCAGTCACTTTGGGTCCCCACTGGGGAGACAGGCGGGTTATAAATGCACTGAATGGCAATAGCAGTTGTGTCAGTGCTTGTGAAACACTGCAAGTTCAAGCAACTGGGGTGGAGTTACGTAACACAGATGATGCCACAACTTAAGAAGCTCAATCTTTTGGCTCTCTCCTGAAGGGCTACTACTGATCAGGCCATAAGATACTCCTACCCCGCATACTGTTCTCTGTAACGCTGCAGCATTCCAAGGAGAGTTACTAACACATGAACCGAATGAGACTGCATAAAGTCGGGATCCTCCTCTGTCAGCATATCAGAACAGCCATTTTCTGGCAGAACCCTTCCACAACGGGAGTCCAAGGCGGTAATTACTGCAATAAGGGTGGAAAGGGATTCCAGCGACACTGATCAAATATAGATGTTGGGCTGGATCCAACAAATCAATTCCAAAACAAGAAACACTTCCCCTCTGGCACAGGCCGCTATTGACAGAAGAGACTCTACTCCAACTCTACCATCAGTGGAAAGCTCCATGCGCCAAAGGAAAACCCCACTGCTAGTGAAATATATCCATAGGATTCTAAGCCATTAGGTAAAGGTAAAGGTTCCCTTGCTCGAATCCGACTCTAGGGTTGCGGTGCTCGTCTCCGTTTCAAAGCCGAAGAGCCAGCGCTGTCCGAAGACATTTCCGTGGTCATGTGGCCGGCATAACTAAACACCAAGGCGCACGGAATGCTGTTACCTTCCCACCGAAGTGGTACCTATTTATCTACTTGCAATTTCTTGCTTTCGAACTGCTAGGTCGGCAGGAGCTGGAACTAGAGACGGGAGCTCACTCCGTCATGTGGCACACTCGGGTCTCGAACGGCTGAACTACCGACCTTCCACAGCCTGTAGTTCACATGTACCGAATTCATAAGGCAGATCATAAATATAACTAATAAATTCAAACAGTATCTTCCAATACTAGGGTTGATTTCTTTTGCAGGTGACAACTAGGGCTGCATACATTCATACAGTTTTGGTCAGACCTATCACATGACCACACAAAGCTACCTTACACTTGAAACTGACCACCAAAGTCAGCATTGCTTACTCAGACTGGCAGTAGCTCTCCAGGGTGTTGGGTAGAGGTCTTTCACATCACCTACTGACAAATATTTTAACTGGAGAGAACGGGGATTGAACCTGGGACCTTCTGCATGCCAAGCAGATCCTCTCTGGCTGAGTCACAACCCCTCCCCTCCCAATCAGAATACCTTTCTGCCCAACACCACTTCTCTTGGTGACTGCTCATACACTTCCACTCCTAAAGGATCGTCAAGTCTTAATCTTCAAAAGGTGTGGGATCCCATGAGAAAAAGTAGCTATTTAACATCTTTGATAAGTTACAATGCCATTTACTACGGAATTTCCAGGACAATACAGCTTGGACTAGGAACCTTCCTGTGCTAACTAACTGCAAAAGTTCCATATATTTCCCATATTTTTCAAATCTGTCTTTGGAACCATAAGGGCATGAAACTATTTTAAGTGAAAGCCTAATTTCTCAGGAGAAATTTCATGTTCAACAAAATGTATGATTTCTTTTAAACATGGAAAATACACACATGGCCACGGTCTTCTCCAATAATTGCCTTTAAATTCTCCAATAATTGCCTTTAAAACAGGGGTGGCCAAACTGCATGCTGCTCTTTCACACAGTCTAATTTATAATGTTAACAAAAAGCAAATTTGCATATTTTCCAATAAAAACGTGTGTGCAATATTTGTTCATGTCTTGCGGCTCTCAAACATCTGACATTTATTCAATGTGGCTGTTACGTTAAGCAAGCCTGGCCACCCCTGATTTAAACTTTTAATAAGATATTTTGGCGAATACTCGCATGGCCATGGTTCTCCAGTTACTGCTTTTAAACTTGCAATGAGATATTTTAGGGAGTTTGTTTCTATTATATACCAAATACCAACTTTAACATCTTTGATTTGGAGGACAAATAATGCACTTTTACTTAAATTTCCGGATCCTTCCAAAAATAAAGTTTGAAAAAGTTTCCTTCCCTGAAACTTCACCCATCTACTAATGCTTAACACTGAGCTGAAGGGAAACATTTTCATATACATCGTCAAGATCTAGAAGCGATAACAGTGATGGGGTGCAGCCTCTATTAATAGTTCCCACTCAATATTCTGTGTACTTACTTACCATACACAGCTAAGCTTTCTTGCAACAAAGGGCTGCAGTGTAATGGACTATTTTATAGTTTCCCCTTCATTGGAATCTCATGTTTTAGATTTCACTGTGGGTGATTATATAATCAGTGACCATCTACCACTTATCTTAACTCTCAATGTCAGCCCTTTCACTAGAACCACACAACACCAGCCTGACAAGCACTATATATTGCCTAGGATCTTTTAGCTGTATGAAAAAAACTGCAACAATTACTCAAACCAAACCTACTTTTAAAGTATAGATCCTCTTTAATTGATGCAACTGAATATTCATCAATGATCATAGCCTATACTGCTAATTTGTTCTGTTGCAACAGCTAATAGGGAGCTGCGGTGGCTCAAGTGGTTAAGACGCTGAACTGCAGGCTGTGGAAGGTCGGTAGTTCAGCCGTTCGAGACCCAAGTGTGCTGCATGACGGAGTGAACTCCCGTCTCTAGTTCCAGCTCCTGCCAACCTAGCAGTTCGAAAGCAAGAAACTGCAAGTAGATAAATAGGTACCACTTCAGTGGGAAGTTAACAGCGTTCCGTGCGCCTTGGTGTTTAGTCATGCCGGCCACATGACCACGGAAATGTCTTCAGACAGCGCTGGCTCTTCGGCTTTGAAACGGAGATGAGCACCGCAACCCCAGAGTCGGATTCGACTGGCTTTCGAGCAAGGGAACCTTTACCTTTAACAGCTAATAACAACTAAGTCGAAGGCAACTGTATTCCTGAATCTGCCTTATACCTTTCTCCCCCAACCTAGATGGTTAGCCTAGAGCTACTCCCTCAGGTAATCTTGCTTTGATGCCTGTGTAGTCACTCTAAGGTGCAGAATCCCTGCTGGCTGAATTTGCTTATACAGTATGCCTTGCTCTTAGCCATAGGCAGCAAGAGTCAGATATCTATTGGAAGCCAACTGCACTAGGTCTTTAAAAAAACCAAATAAGACACTTGATTAAGTACTCTAATTGTCTGAACTGGACCAGTTTATCAACCAGCCTACCCCCCCCCCCAGTCTAGTCCAGCCCCCTACATCCTAGCAGTCCAGCCTCCAAAGGAGTCAGTCCAGCTTAACTACGAAGAGCGAGTGCAATGGAGACAAGTTTTCCAAAAAATGATAGCTGAACAACACTTCCTGAATTTACCTTGCATCATTAAGATCGCACTTATTTCCAGCGATAGCTACAACAATATTGGGAGGACCATGCTGCCGAAGTTCTTTCACCCAGTTCTTCAGCGTTGAAAATGTCTCCTGAAATGGAGATGACGGAATTAGTAATACACGAAGGTGTCACTGACATATAGTTCTCTTTTTGCAAGTGCCCCCCCTACCTCTTTTGTGATGTCATAAACTATAATCGCCGCTGCAGACCCTCGGTAGTACATTGGTGCCAGAGCACGGAACTGCAAAGAAAAAGAGCATGGTAGGAAATGATGCCAGTTGTACGTAGAAGATCATATAGGGTGACAGGAGCAGTCAGTCTATGGAGATTTAAAGGCCCTGGGTGCTCTATGATGCTATTATGAACCCCTCTAATCACCCTAGACTGGGGTGGGTGGGAAACAGAAGTGGTTTATCGATGCCTTCCTCTGCAGTCTTCCTTGGTGGTCTCCCATCCAAGTACCAACGTTGCTTAGCTTCCGAGATCTGATGAGATCAGGCTATACCATGTTGCCTTCCCTCCAGAATATTGGTATATAATGTGCAGGAAACAAACTGAAGGAATGAAGATTAGGGAAACTGTACATCTCACTAAACAGGATATGAAGCAAAATTACTTTGCATTTTCCTTTCTGTTCAAGAAAATTTAGACTGAAAAGAAAGAACAGGTCTAGAAGGCATTCCTTTTAAACTAGAGGACCATCCACTCGCTCTACTCACCAACCCTGTATCTCACTGTGATTATTATTGTTGTTGTTGTTATTGTTGTTATTGTTATTGTTGTTATTGTTGTTATTGTTATTATTGTTATATTTGTTAATTGCCCTATCCCTGCTTGTGCAGGACTCTGGGCAGCGTACAACAAAAAGGCACAGAACCATAAAACAAGTTTACAAAACATTAAAATTCCAAACATAAAAAAAATTAAATTAAGAAAGTTAAAAGAAGTCTAAGATGGCATTC